CCGGACCCCACAGGGCCTTCCCACCTGATGGTCCTGGAGCCCCTGGAAGCTGCTAGGCCTCAAGTCTATGACGCTTGGCTCAGTAGCCATGACTTCTAATCATGGTGATCTCCATGAATTTCTCAGGATACAGACTCACTGCAACAGGTAACCACAATGAGGAACCCAAAGGTACTAACCAGCATTTTTATGCAGGGTAGGTAGACAAACAAGAAGGAAAAGAAATAAAAGGAAACAGAAAGAACTGAAGAGAAAGGGAAAGGCAAGACAGGACAGAGGGTGGTACACAGGGGAATGGCAGAATACACTGCTATGCCACGTGCTCTTGGGAATCCGGCACAGGGTGGTGGTGCGTTGGGGAGGGATGCTGCCTCCTATTGTCCATTTTACCTCTCACCCTTGATTTTATTTCTAAGTAGCCAGACGACGAAGGGGCCCAGCCCTATCCCACCCCGCTTTAAAGAAACCTCCTGAAAGTCCTTAGTTAATACTTAGCTTCAAAGCACACTTAGCTGCCAGCGAGGTTAGGACATGAGGTTGGATTTGAGGGACCTTCTCCCTCAAAAACCACTCAACTCCCTATATTTTTGAAATTAACCACCACCACCAACCCATCACAATGGGAAGCATTAAGTCTATCTAAAAGTTTTTTTTTGTTTTGAGACGGAGTCTCGCTCTGTCACCCAGCCTGGACTGCAGTGGCATAATCTCAGCTCACTGCAACCTCCGCCTACTGGGTTCAAGCAATTCTTCTGCCTTGGCCTCCTGAGTAGCTGGGATTATAGGCAGGTGCCACCATGCCCGGCCAATTTTTGTATTTTAGTAGAGACAGGGTTTCGCCATGTTGGCCAAGCTAGTCTTGAGCTCATGACCTCAAGTGAGCCACCTGCCTCGGCCTCCCAAAGTGCTGGGATTGCAGGTATGAGCTACCATGCCAGGCCTGAAAAGTTGGGTTCTCTACTAAAAGGTGAGATTAATTGTGGAGAGGCAACTTGCAGCCTGGAGTGAGAGTAACAAATCCCCTGTCCCACTGTCATGTCTCTTCTCTATTTTCTTTTTTTTCACCTCTCCTGGCCAGCAGTTTGCATAAACTTCAGAATGGCCACTTCGAGCTTCCTCTGAACCTATTTCAGTTCCCTGAAGCTACTCTCTGCAGCTATATTCTTCTATGTCTTAGTCCCCATTTTCTTTTTGTTGTTGTTGTTCTTTTTTGAGATGGAGTCTTGCTCTGTTGCCCAGGCTGGAGTGCAGTGACACTATTTTGGCTCACTGCAGCCTCCGCCTCCCGGGTTCAAGCAATTCTCCTGCCTCAGCCTCCCGAGTAGCTGGGACTACAGGCGCCCGCTGCTATGCCTGGCTTTTTTTTTTTTGTATTTTTAGTAGATATGGGGTTTCACCGTGTTAGCCAGGATGGTCTTGATCTCCTCACCTCATGATCTGCCCGCCTCAGCCACCCAAAGTGCTGGGATTATAGGGCGTGAGCCACCATGCCCAGATTAGTCCCCATTTTCAAGAAGGGGCTCCTCTTTCCACACCAGGCCACCCAAGTCCTGTGGCTGCTGGTCAGTCGGTAGATTCACTGCACTAGAGTCAGGTGTCTATCCTTGGTCCAGTGGCAAGTGGTAGGCTGGGGGATTGTGCCAAACAGATGGTGATTTATCTCAGGTGGAGGCTCAGACAGGTGTGAAATGACCGACACACCCAGGCAACTCTATTTTCCCACTAACATATTTAGGTGAATCAAGTAGGTGGGCCACAAATAGCTTCACACACTCAGGACTGTCATAACAAAGAACCACAAATGGGGTGGCTTAAAATAACACAAATTTATTTCTCACGATTCTGGGGATAACTCACGGTGTTAGTAAGGCCATGCTCCTTCTTTCTGAAGGGGAAGTCTCTTCTTAGCTTCTGCTAGTTTGCTGAAAATCTTTGGCAACTTTTGCTGCATCCCTCCAAGCTCTGCCTTCATCATCGCATGGCTTTCTGTGTGTCTGTCTTCACATAAGGACACCAGCAGTAAGGACACCAGTCGTATTGGATCAGGGGCTCATGCTACTCTAGCAGAATCGCATTTTAACTAATTTCATCTGCAATGACCTTGTTTCTAAATAAAGTCACAGTCTGTGGTACTCAGGGTTAGGACTTCCAAAAATCTTTTTGCGGGGAGACATAATTCAGTCCCTAACATATACGTACATGGGTTACACAGCCTACAGCCTATCTTCCATAAATCAGATACATACCTAAGCATTAAGGCAGAATTACTCCTGAATGCTCCTCACAGTGGCACTACTACATGGACGTGCCTACTACGTCTTTACGTATCCATCAATTGCTCTTAGTTATGCTTTTAATAAAGTAGTCTTGGTGTTACCACCCTCCAAAAAAGAAACAAGGTTAAACAAAATCCGTGTTTAAAAGTAATATTTAGGAATCATTATTTCACTTATATAAAAACATCCTTTAGTCACAGCTTAAACAAGCTCCACTAATTGGGAACAATTAGTTTGACACAGTAGGCAGAATGTAAAAGCATTAAAAATGTTGCCAAGAGCTTCTTGGCCCTTTTTTATACATTTTTTTCAGACAGAGTCTCACTCCAGCCAAGCAGGCTAGAATGCAGTGGCGCAATCCCGGTACACTGTACCCTGGACTCCTGGGCTAAAGCAATCTTCCCACCTCGGCCCGCAAGTAACTGGGACTACGAGCCGGGGCCACCACGCCCGGTGAATTTTTGTATTTTTTTGTAGAGATGTGGTTTCACCATGGGAATTGAGGCTGGTCTCAAACTCCTGACCTCAGGTGATCTGCCCACCCCGGCGTCTCGAAGTGCTGGGATTACAGGCGTGAGCCACCGCGCTGGGCGGTTCCTCGTTCCTTTAGGCTCCCATGGCCGCCATCTTCAGAAGAGGGAGCCTTGGGGAACCAAAGTGTGGAAGACTGTAATGGCGGAGCGGAGGCTTTAAAGGGTATGAATGTGGAAACCACTTTTTCCAGCCAAATGGCAATCTATTTCTCTCTCTCTCTGTTTTTTTTTTTTTCCTTAGGCAGAATCGCGCTTTATCACCCAGAATGGAGTGCAGTGGCGTGATCTCAGCTCACTCCAACCTCCACCTCCCGGGCTCAAGCGATTCTCCTGCCTCAGCCTCCTGAGTAGCTGGGATTACAGGCGCCTGCCACCACGCCCGGCTAATTTTTTTTTTTTTTTTTTTTTTTTTTTTTTTGTATTTTTAGTAGAAATGGGGTTTCACGATGCTGGCCAGGCTGTTCTTTTTTTAAAAAATGCTGAAGATATACTTTAATACAGTTTTAAACAGGAGGAAGTCTCATCTTGGTACAAAAGGAACTTACCATAATAAAAATGTAAGATTGGGCAGGAAAATGTGCAAAAAATTTGTATATCTTACCTCATATAATCCTTGAAACATTATTATGAGGTAGAAAGTTGTATCTGTTGGGCCGGGCGCGGTGATCCCAGCACTTTGGGAGGCCGAGGTGGGCGGATCACCTGAGGTCGGGAGTTCAGACCAGCCTGGCCAACACAGCAAAACACCGCACAACACCGCACAACACCGCCTCTACTAAAAATACAACATTTGCCGGGGGTGGTGGCGCATGCCTGTAATCCCAGATACTGGGGAGGCTGAGGCAGGAGAATCGCCTGAACCCGGGAGCCGGAGGTTGCGGTGAGCCGAGATGGCGCCATTGCACTCCAACCTGGGCAACAAAAGCGAAACTCCGCCTCAAAAAAAAAAAAAAAAAAAAAAAAAGGGGTGTATCTGTTTTTTGGGGTAAGAAAACTAACCCGGCCGGGCGCAGTGGCTCATGCCTGTAATCCCAGCACTTCTGGGAGGCCGAGACGGGCGGATCACGAGGTCGGGAGACTGAGACCATCCCGGCTAACACGATGAGACCCCGTCTCTACTAAAAATACAAAAAACAAAATTAGCCAGGCGTGGCAGCGGGCGCCGGTAGTCCTAGCTACTCAGGAGGCTGAGGCAGGAGAATGGCGTGAACCCGGTAGGCGGAGCTTGCAGTGACCTGAGAGATCGCGCCACTGCACTCCAGCCTGGGCGACAGAGCGAGACTCCGTCTCAAAAGAAAAAAAAAAAAAGAAAAGAAAACTAACCCATCCGGCCGGCCGTGGTGGCTCAAGCCATCTCTACAACCCCATCTCTACAAAAAATACAAAAATTAGCCGGGCATGATGGTGGGTGCCTGTAGTCCCAGCAATTCGGGAGGCTGAGGCAGGAGAATCGCTTGAACCCAGCAGGCGGAGGTTGCACTGAGCCGAGATGGCGCCATTGCACTCCGCTGAGATGGCGCCATTGCACTCCAGCCCGGGAAACAAGGGCGAAACTCCGCCTCAAAAAAAAAAAAAAAAAAAAAAGAAAGAAAAGAAAAAAGTTGTATCTAACCAGTCCGGTCGGGCATGGTGGCTCACGCCATCTCTACAACCCCATCTCTACAAAAAAATATATAAAAATTAGCCAGGCATGATGGCGGGTGCCTGTAATCCCAGCAATTCAGGAGGCTGAGGCAGGAGAATCGCTTGAACCCAGCAGGCGGAGGTTGCGGTGAGCCGAGATGGCGCCATTGCACTCCAGCCTGGGCAACGAGAGCGAAACTCCGCCTCAAAAAAAAAAAAAAGAAAAAAGAAAGTTGTATCTAACCAATCCGGTCGGGCACGGTGGCTCACGCCATCTCTACAACCCCATCTCTACAAAAAAAAAAAAACAAAAACAAAAATTAGCCGGGCATGACGGTGGGTGTCTGTAATCCCAGCTATTCGGGAGGCTGACGCATGAGAATCACATGAACCCAAGAGGCGGCGGTTGCAGCATGCCAAGATCGCTCCACTGCACGCCAGCCTGGGGCGGCACAGTGAGACTGTCTAATAAACAACAAAAAAAAAACCCTAAAAGATACTGATCAGATAAACACATAAGCAAAACTAAGATGTCCACCATGGTAAGTGCTATCAAGAAGAGAGACCTGTGCTCGCTTCACCAGCACATATACTAAAATTGAAACGATACAGAAATTAGCATGGCCCCTGAGCAAGAGACACCCTTTCCCTTCTGAGCCTGCTTAAAAAAAAAAAAGAGAGAAATATGCTGGCTTTGTAGAACATGGTCAGGAGCTTTGTCTGATACGGGGAAGATGAAAAATTATTGGTTTTTATTATTTTTTAAATTTTTATTTTTTTTTTGAAACGGAGTTTCGCTCTTGTCGCCTAGGCTGAAGTGCAATGGTGCAGTCTCTGCTCACTGCAACCTCCGCCTCCTGGGTTCAAGCGATTCTCCTGCCTCAGCCTCCCAAGTAGCTGGGATTACAGGCACTCGCCACCACACCCAGCTAATTTGTATATTCTTAGTAGAGACGGGGTTTCACCATGCTGGCCAGGCTGGTCTCAAACTCCTGACCTCAAGTGATCCGCCCGCCTCGGCTTCCTGAAGTGCTGGGATTAGAAGTGGGAGCCACCGCGCCTAGCCAAATTTTTGGTTTTTAAGGAGGTGAGGTGGTTGGCATACTATATTCCAATGATTGTGAGACACTTTTTTTCTTACAAAATCGCTGAAATCAAAGTTTAATTAGCATTGTTTTCTTTCTGGGCTATATGTGAAATAATGATGTGGCCTATACTCAGGGGCATTTTAGAGTTGGTGAGATACAGTGATTAGGTTTGCAATTTTAAAAGTTCACGTTGGATGTAATATGGAGAATAGATTTATGATCAGCTACATGGATCAGGCTTAATTTTATAATAAAATGCAGAAATTGACTATTGATGCTGAGTAACACTAATGTTTTTATCTCAACTCTTTTTTATTTTTTGAGACAAGGTCTTGATCTGTCACTCAGGCTGGAGTGCAGTGGCACGATCACAACTCACTGTAGCCTCATCCTCCTGGGCTCAAGTGGTCCTTTTGCCTCAGCCTCCCAGGTAGTTGAGACCACAGTTGCATGCCACCAAGTTGCATGCTTGGCTCATTTTTAATTTTTTTGGTAGAGACAAGGTCTCACTTTGTTGCCCAGGTTAGTCTTGAACTCCTGGGCTCAAGCGATTCTCCTGCCTCAGCCTCACAAAGTGTTGGGATTACAGGTGTGAGCCACGTGCCCAGGTTGAAGTTTTCTTTTTATCACAGTAGTTCGTTTGTTCTCATTAACTTCATAATAAGTAAATACTATTAATCTGAACTTATAAAACAATCTATCTTTATAAAACACCCCTTTTAATAGATAAGCATAAATTCATACAGATATTTGGAAATAGATACAGATAAAATCTGTAAAGAATTTTTCTTCATAAAAGTGTTCTGCTTTAAAAAGTTTGGAAACTGCTGGTCTAGGTAGTAGGGATTCATTAGCCAAGGATTTTTGCACAGGAGAATAAAATGATTGAAGTTGTAGGACAGAACTGTGACTCTGGCCACAGCAACATAGAAGCATGACAGGGAGAGACAGGAAGGTGCTATGGGAATGGAAGAGAGGGGATGGGTTAGTTTTGTTTTGTTTTGAGACGGAGTTTCATTCTTGTTGCCCAGGCTGGAGTGCAATGGCGCGTGCCCTTGGCTCACTGCAACCTCTACCTCCCGGGTTCAAGCATTCTCCTGCCTCAGCCTCCCGAGTAGCTGGTATTACAGGCGCCCGCCACCACACCCAGCTAATTTTTGTATTTTTAGTAGAGACGGGCTTTCGCCATGTTGGCCAGGCTGATCTCGAACTCCTAACCTCAAATAATCCACCCACCTTGGCCTCCCAAAGTGCTAGGATTACAAGGATGAGCCACCGCACCTGGCCTTCTGATCAGTATCTCTATCTCCCACTAGGCTGTAAGCTCCATGAGGGCAGGGACTATACTTTTGCTCCCAACTGTATCTTCAGTGCTTGGCATAGCACATGGTAGCACTTGATACACAGAAGATACTTGAACATTTGGTAATGGAATGAGCTGAAGTCCATTTTTAAAAAAATGATTCATGCTGCTGATTTTAGGATACCCTTCAATTCCAAGGATCCAAAAGATCCACTAACGTGAGGACAGGAAGACTTCTGTTTCAGAGTTGAATCATTACCAATATCTACCAAATTCTTATCTCCTTATCAAATACCAAATTCAGAAAACAGCATTGAAAATTACTATGTTAACACTTTCCCTAACTCGATATATATATATATATATTTTTTAATTTACTAATTTGAGACGGAGTTTCACTCTTGTCTCTCAGACTGGAGTGCAATGGCACGATCTCGGCTCACTGCAATCCCCGCCTCCCAAGTTCAAGAGATTATCCTGCCTCAACCTCCCAAGTAGCTGAGATTACAGGCACGCACCACTACATCTGGCTAATGTTCGATATTATTATCACACGCTGGTCAGTGTGTTTTTGTGAACTGTCAACGTTCCAAGATTTTGTGCTGAGCTGGTGCGTCTGAGACTCTTATGATTTTCAGGCTTACTCTCTGCTCCAATTATACCTGCTTTGTACAGGCACAAATCCAGAGGGTTGGTCAGAGCTGAGCTTTCCCAAACAATAAAACATTTGTAACAAATTCTACCATATTCACAGTGATGACAGATGCTTTCCTCTGTGGCATGCATCAAAACATGTTCATCAGATTTTGGAAGCACAAGTTAAGGCGTTAAAATGTGGCATATAACACATTTGAGGGTGTAAGTATTTTCTTTTAGATTATTAGTTAAAAATATTTCTAAAGAGGACGTTAGAATAAAACGGTTGCAGAAGCACAGCAGCACATTTATTTGTAAAACCAAAGGACAGGCTGAGCGCAGTGGCTCATGTCTGCAATCCCAGCACTTTGAAAGGCTGTGGCAGGTGGATCATTTGAGGTCAGGAGTTCAAGACCAGCCTGGTCAACGTGGCAAAACCTCATCTCTACTAAAAATACAAAAATTAGCCGGGTGTGGTGGCAGGTGCCTGTAATCCTAGTTACTCAGGAGGCTGAGGCACGAGAATCATTTGAACTCAGGAGGCGGAGGTTGCAGCGAGCCAAGATCGCGCCATTGCACTCCAACCTGGGCAACAGAGCTCCGTCTCAAAAATAAAAATAAAAATAAAAATAAATAAGGAAAATGAAACAGTCATGGAAAGGGTAAAATTTGACTGATTTAGTGCCAGTATTTAACATTTCTTCAGCATTTTCTGCTGTGTACCAGGCAGACTGCTGAGTGGTTTTCCAAACAGCATTCCAGTCACAGTCCCTAAAGGTGCTCAGGGAGAAGAGGGCTCTGTGGTCCTAGGAAAAGCTCCACTCTGCAGTATTCTCTTGGAGATTCATGATGCAAAATAGGGTTTTAAAGGCTCTGAGAAATTTCAGAGAAAAGAAGGAAATATAAGTTTCTTTTACCTAGAATTTTCCAATCTTTTCTAATCACGAAACTTTCTAAAAATATTTGTGTATTCTTCTTTTTTTTTTTTTAAAGAGGGGCTGCTGGGCATGGTGGCTCACGCCTGTAATCCCAGCACTTTGGGAGGCCAAAGGGGGCGGATCACCTGAGGTCAGGAGTTCAAGACCAGCCTGGCCAACATGGCAAAATCCCGTCTCTACTAAAAATACAAAAATTAGCTGTAATCCCTACTATTAGGGAGGCTGAGGCAGGTGAATTGTTTGAACCCAGGAAGTGTAGGTTGCAATGAGCTGAGGTGGTGCTATTGCACTCCAGCCTAAGCGACAGAGCAAGACTCCATATCAAAAAAATAATAAAATAAATAGAGAGGGGTCTCAGTATTTTGCACAGGCTGTACTCCAACTCTTGAGCTCAAGCTTTCTGCCTCAGCCTTCTCAATAGCTGGGACTATAGGCTTGCACCCCTGCACCTGGCTCATGATGCTTCTCTTTGAGAAATACTGGCCTGGAGTACTTTTTACATACATCTGGTTCTCACTATATTTGTGAAGTAGCCACAACTTAACTTTACAGAAGAACGGAATGGAACATCAGGCAGGTTATGCCAGGTCACACAGCTACTAATACACAATCTTTTTGTGTGTGTCTGTGTGTGTGTGTGTGACAGTTTTGCTCTTTTGTCCAGGCTGCAGTGAAGCGGTGTGATCTCAGCTCACTGCAACCTCTGCCCACCACCTGGGTTCAAGTGATTCTCCTGCCTCAGTCTCCTGAGTAGCTAGAATTACAGGAATCTACCATCACACCCGGCTAATTTTTGTATTTTTAGTAGAGGTTTCACCATGTTGGCCAGGTTGCTCTTGAACTCCTGATCTCAGGTGATCCACCCGCCTTGGCCTCCCAAATAGATTACAGGTGTGAGCCACCGCGTCCAGCCTCTAATATACAATCTTTGACGCAAACTCAATTTTTCTTTTTTTTTTCTTTTTTGAGATGGAATCTCGCTCTGTCGCCCAGGTTGGAGTGCAATGGCACAATCTCGGCTCACTGCAACCTCCGCCTCTCGGTTTCAAGTGATTCTGAGTAGCTGGGATTACAGGTGTGCGCCACCAGCCCGGCTAATTTTTAATTTTTAGTAGAGACGGGGTTTCACCATGTTGGTCAGGCTGGCCTTGAACTCCAGACCTCGTGATCCGCCCACCTTGGCCTCCCAAAGTGCTGGGATTACAGGCATGAGCCACCATGCCCAGCTATGCAAACTCAATTTTTCTAAAAGAAAAAAAACAAAACCAAAACAAAACAAAAACCTCCAGTGCTTTTTCCAGCATAAAACACCACTTTCTTTTCTTTTCTTTTCTTTTTTGAGACGGAGTCTTGCTTTGTTGCCCAGGCTGGCTGGAGTGCAGTGGTGCGATCTCGGCTCACTGCAACCTCCATCTCCTAGGTTCAAGTGATTCTCCTGCTTCAGCCTCCTGAGTAAGTGGGATTACAGGTGCACCACCATGCCCAGCTAATTTTTTTTTTTTTTTGAGATAAAGTTTCACTCCTGTTGCCTAGACTAGAGTGCAATGGCGCAATCTCGGCTCACTGCAACCTCCAACTCCTAAGTTCAAGCGATTCTCCTGCCTCAGCCTTCTGAGTAGCTGGGATTACAGGTGCCCACCACCACACCAGGCTAATTTTGTACTTTTAGTAGAGATGAGGTTTCTCTATGTTGGTCAGGCTGGTCTC